CCCGCTGCAGCCGCGGGAGCGCGGGCAGAGCGTCCGCACCCGGCGGCGCTGGGTGACGCCGGGGGATCGTAGAGACGCTGTTTCCTCACGATGCGCTGTCAAATGTCGCCTCCCAGCCAGGCTTTTAGCGGTCAGAGTTTGAAGTCCGCAGTAAAGGCAGGCCTGTCCTTTCAGTACATCGTCGTGACACTGATTATTTCTAAAACTCAGTGTGAAGCTGTATCTTTGTTGTTTTCCTGTGATTTGACCAAGAAAAAAACCCCTAGACCAGAAGTCTCGCGTGCACACACACAGAGCAAGTAGAATCCTTGTTCACACAACACAACAGTGCTATTTCATTAGCTGGATATTAAGCACGCAGGGAGTTTTGAAGGTGAGAGGACAAAATATGGCTTTAAAGATGAGATCACCTCTATCTCTTGAATGTTGTTCACTTTATGTACTGAAACTAATCAGCTGCACTCTGGCCTCAGTGTTCCTGCGTCTGACTGTGTAGAGGTGAGAGAGAACGTAACTTTGGTGGGATGGCTAATCTCTGTCATAATCATAGAACCATAGAATGGTTTGGGTTGGAAGGGACCTCAAAGAACAGCCTCCTGCCATGGCAGGGACATCTCCCACTAGACCAGGTTGCTCAGAGCTCCATCCAGCCTGGCCTTGAACACCTCCAGGGATGGAGCATCCACAGCTCCCTGGGCAGCCTGCTCCAGTGCCTCACCACCCTTGGGGTAAAGAACAGCAGGCAGTTCACAACACGAAGGCTGAAAGGGAAGAGGTCTATTTAAAGTGTAGAAATTCCACCCAAACTCTATCCTCATGGAATGTACTGCATCTAGTTCTCAGTGTAACTGAAACTTGCCTTCCCCTCACTTCCCAAATGAAAACTCAGTGGATTGTCATTGAATGCTAAGAAACTTACAGTACTGAATCTTTTCCAGCTCAGTTATTTCTCAGCGTATCGTACAACACTTTGTGAGAACTTTTCGCTTACTGGTGGTGCCTCTGTAGGCTAAGAGTGAGGGAAGATGTGCTACATTAACCTCTGCTGTCAGAGGATTAAGTATTTCTGATCAATGGCACTGCACGTCGTGTATTCGGGTGGCTGTGCCTCAGGCCTTAAATCCTGGGAAATAACAGGTTATCCATGTTCAAGAAATCATCTTGCAGTTTCTTGAAAGGTAATGCTGGTTTTGTGCACAACCCTCAGTGGTTACAAAACGTGGCCATGCCCTCCCCTGCGTGTTCTGTCAATTCACAGAATCTGTTACAAAGTTGGTTCCTTCCATAATGTGAATTCAGTATTCAAAATGTATTTTTAAAAATCTCTTTCTGCTTTTCAAAAGTATTTAAATAAACCTAGCAAAGTTGCATTTACACTTCTGCCAAGAAGGATAGAATAAGCTACTTCAGTATTTTAGAAATGCTGTAAGATTTTTCTACACCAACATAGTAATTTCTGTAGCATTTTTTTATTAGTCATTGTGACTCTTCAGAGCAGGCTTTCAGCTGAGTTGATTTAGCTATATAATTCTGCAAGGCCAAGGAAGTTGTCTTCCCCTTCTGGGTATCTAGAAATAACTGGATGACACTGAGAGAATATGTTCTCCCAGTCTTCTTTAAATGAAGTAACTTTAATCTGTTTGTGTGAATTCATCAGTATATTAAGCTTTATTTCTTTTAGCCGTGTTTCTATAAAAGCAAGCAGCTTAAAAGCATTTCCAGAATACATAAGACTTGATTTCAGCCCCAAGTAAAGGGGAAGTAGCTGTTAATAGTTTATTTTGTGTAATTAAGGCAATGGCAGTGAATTTAGTTTTATTTCAGTTTATGGATTTTTCAAAACACAGAACTGATGAAACCAATGTTTTTCGAGGTACCAAGTTATGTTTAGAGTTGTCTGTCTAAACCATATTCGACATCGTTTTCATGAAGCTCTGAAGGAGAAAAAAAAGAGCTGAAAGGGCTGCAGTGTTGGTCGGCCTCAGATTTGAAAAGGCACGGGCACACAGTCATTGCAAATATCGACAGGCACCAAAAGGGGCAGGCGTCCCACTTCCACTGCTTGGCTCCCAGTGAGCTAAATAAGGGCACTTTCTCCGCTGAACACTGAGAGCCTTCCCTCTTACGAGATAAGTTTTAGCGGTTCATGCAGCTGCGTGGATGCCAACCCATCAGCATTTCTTCCTGCCGCTGCCCATGTGTGTCAGAGGGATGCATTGCCCTTTTTCTGGCAGCAGCAATATCGGCTGGATTAACGTAACCACTAAACTCTAAGGGTATCAAAGGTGAAATGGTGTTACAGAAAAAAACCCTGAAGGCTGTAGCTGTGATCGATTCTCTCATTCAGTTAACTTGAAAAAAGCTATAGGGTAGAGGAAACAGATTGTTCTGCTTTAACTAACGGCTTGCCTATACGCTTACATCTGAATTGCAGAGTATATTCCTGACTGAAGAGTTATCTTTATGGGTTTCATCGTGTGAATGATTCTGATTTTTTAAAATTTTATTATTTTTTTAATGATTTTCACAGATGAGCTGAGTTCCTGGATACAGCAGTCTTTTAAACATTACGTGACACAAGAGGCTAAGCAACACTTCAATGACTATGACAAAGATGGCGATGGATTAGTGTCTTGGAAGGAGTATAATATGCAAATGTATGATCGTGTAATTGATTTTGATGAGAACACTGTCCTAGAGGATCAAGAAGAAGAATCATTTCGACAGGTAAAATGTTTCAGCAACAGTTTCTGTGAGCTGTAGGGCAGCAATGTTTGCTTATTGTGGTAGAACAAGACTGGTGGAGAAACCATAGCAGCTGGCACGTGTTTTAACACTTCCATCTATCTGAGATAGGAGAATAATTAAAGGAAAGTAATGGAGGATTAAAGCTGCTAGGAACAAAGCCATGACAGAATGGAATCGTACCTCCTAGGTGTATTTGGCTAGCAGAGTGTAGGGTAAGTCTGTTGACAGCCTTGCCACAGCACTGTCTCCAGCCGTCGTGTTAAAAGGAGAAGGCATCTCTGACATCAGTTCTGTGGCCTACCCAGCAGCCGGCCTTCCGCAGGAGCCAGCACCACTGGTGTTGGAGGTAGAGGAAACCTTTGTACTCCTTAATCCCCTTTATTGCCCTTTCTACCCACTTTTTCAGTTATTTCTCAAATACCTGGTGTGAGGTGTCAGTGGTGCCTGCTTTTTAGAGACCCACGGAGAAAGCAGTAGCAATTCAGACAATTTCAGCAATGAAAGTGCAGCTCTGGTAGCTAAAGCTGGGTGTCTAAGTGGAAAGAAAAGTGACAGGAGAGGCAGGGAAGAAAAGGTTCACCAAGAATCACCACATGGCAAAACTCATTTCCTCTCAAGTTACACATTTGTAAGTATATGTAAATATTTCCCCAAAAGAGAATGAGTGAGTTTGTAGATCATTCTGGCCTGAGCTGTTTTGGTTTTTTTTCTGTTGAGATTTCTTTGGCTGCTTTTAGTAAAGCAGTAGTAAATAATACAGGGTGTTGGCAGAAGTGAAGCTAAAATAGACAATGGGCAGGCGATGTTACACACTGAAGAAACAAACTGTAAAGCTAAGAGGTCACTTAACTGAATAATTACATAGCTCCTAAATAAAACAAGACTTGAAATGGAGCTACGGGTCCCACGTTTGAGATACTGCCATCATAGATCTTTCTACTGAGCTAGAACACCTGCTCACTTATAAGCTGTACTTTGCCTGCTTGCTAGGTTGTCCCGCTTGCTGACTTCAACATATGTTGTAAAGAGCAAAAGTAGTAGCATTGTACAAGCATCATATGTCAGCCATCGTCAGCATTTTCCTTACATTTGGAAGGTAGTGATCCTGCTCTCATCAAAATGGAAGAGTTAGACTCGGGTATTGATTTAGAATTGACATCAGGTAAGCAGATGAATTTACCAGGAGGTGGCAGCCTTGTTCATCACTTGTCAAAAAAATGCTGAAAAATAGACTTTCCCCCTCAATAGTTCAGGCTTACACTGCAGTCTAGTACGTTCTGTAGTCAGTCCTGAAATGCCTTCCTACTTAAATTCTCAGCTAAGCACAGCTTTTCATTAAGAGTGCATTTAATTATTCTGCAGAATAGGTAAGATCGTGTACTTTTTCAGTTACATGTTATGCTCTGTATTGATGAGGGTAGCCTAATTTTGCGAGAAGTGACAATAAACAGCATATAAACTAGGAAGTACAATTTCAAATGGTTATTTTTTAAATTAATTGGGATCTCTGGCTTGCTGGCCACTCCCTTATCCTGATCAGAGTCACACTGATAGTACAACACATTTAATCATGGGCTTCCAAAATTTTTATAGCTCACATCACGTGCAGTTTGAGTAGAGATCAGGTATCAGTGGTTGGGTCTTTATTTTGTCTAGAGAGACTGTATGAAATGAAAAAAGGTAAAAATATAACATTTTTCCACAGTTGGAATACAGAAATGGGAAGTACAAGACATTAAAAGAACCTGCCTGCTTATTGTGGCTATTCATTATTTTTAAAAGGCATGCTAATATTTAAACTTAAAACTGGTTAGAGAATTGACTTCACTTTGAAATATGTTCAGATGTAATGGACAATGGTCTTGTATTAAAGGAACCTGTCTAATCCTTCAGCTCTTTTAATGGCTTCAGAAAAGATATTTTACATTTATAATATTTCAAGACCATCTCTGAACTACAAACAGCCCGTGATATAAATGAGCGATAGATCCAGACGGTTAAACATAAATTCTAGATTGCTACCGTTGCTTATAATCCCCTAGGTTAGTTTGGGAATTGGTGACTTTTAGAGGAGGAAGCATGTATGAAGACAAGAATTCTTGATATCTTCATTATCTCCCTTTTGCGTTTTTGAAGCCTTGGCTTAGAGTGTGTTTTAAATGTCTCCTCAAATTAGAAAAAAGGAAGTTTTTATGTGATTCTTAGAATAAAACTACCTCACTTAAAAGTGCTGTTGTTGTTGCTTTGGATGAGCTCCTTCTAGTGAAAATATAACATCAGTATGAGTAGGTTATGTGAAACAATTAATATTCTAATGAGCTTGCAGCCAGCTACTGTAATGTTGTTTTTCCTTTTCATTAAGTGCTCTAACTAAATCTGTTTTCTAAGCTTCATTTAAAGGAGAAAAAGCGTTTTGAAAAAGCTAATAGAGACGATGTTCCTGATCTAAATGTGGATGAATTTGTTGCTTTTGAACATCCTGAGGAAGTGGACTATATGACGGTAAGATTTAGAGGGGTGTCTGTCAGCCTGTGTCTATATAGATGTAACATCTTAACACACGTGCTGAGCCCCAGAGCTACAGGAAGAGTGCCTTTGAGCAGTTACGTGCATTGCTTTTACAGAACAAATCGAAAGGCAGGTAACGTGTTGTGGAACCAGTGCTGGAGGTCAGGAGCTGGAGCAGTAGTTCAGTGCTTTGCTTTAAAACATGTTTCAAGGACTAGTACTGCAGAACTCTCTCTCATGCTTGGGATTGGACTGCCGTAGCTATGTCTAAACTCTTTAAGAACAGAGCTGTTTTACTGCACAGGAACCAACTCCTGCACTAGTCCACATGAAACAAAAGCAGGTTTGAAATGAGGGAGTCTTCACTTTAAAGAATACCTTATTGCTCTAAAATGATTTACTGCTCTTTCACTTGATTACAAGTTGGTGATTTCTCACAAATTGCTATTTTGCTTTTTGTACGTATACAAAAGGACTTTGTCATTCAGGAGGCTTTAGAAGAACATGATAAAGATGGCGATGGATTTGTTAGCCTGGAAGAATTCCTTGGTGATTACAGAAGAGACCCAAGTAAGAAAAAAGGGTGGGGGCGTGAAAGAAGAAACTGAACAAAAGCTTTTGGAATGGGGTGGATTGTATGCACCTTTATTTTCAGCTTTTTACACTTCAGCCTACAGGTTCTGAGTAACATTATTCTATCTTTTAGGATAATTCCATTTCCTGGTACTGAACATGGGAGATCATTATTTCAGTCTGCCCTGTACACCTTTGGCAGTAGCTTGTGTATAGCTCGTACCACTGTTTCCTTGCTGAGTTACTGCTAACTGAACACGTCTGTGAAA